AAAGTAGGGGTCCATCTAGCCGCTCCCTTGAGTGGTTGATAGTAGCATATACAGTATGATATATATGTTACGGCGGAGCTTCCACTAGATTAGGTCTGTCACTCTCTAACGCCATATGAATCTTAGTCTAGTTGCTATATCAGCGCCCAACTTGAGTTTCTTAGCATATTCGCTCATCAAGTACCTATCTAAGACCTCACATTTAGCTATATTCAGGCTTCATGAAGCTGTGGATAACTTCAATGTTTGACTTTTTAGAGTCTCATCTTAGCCAATGCTAAGGCGACATCTCATAATGAATTAGTTTTGTTCACTTCTCAAGCTACAAAACATTTACATCACTCGCTCTCTAAGCGTCAAGATAACTAATGTCTTATCTCGCTCGCTGTAACTCCACGAAATAATTATAATAATACAACTTAATCAAAACTTAACGCAAGACAACACAACATAATTGAAATAATAAGCTTTCATTAATCTGGATTGTTATACAAAAGTGACACATGCGATGTACATTCATAAACAGCTCATCCTGAATCTACAACATGTGCTACATGTAGCAAGAGGAATGAAAGCTAAACAGATATTTAAATGATCTAAAAGCTTACATCTTTCCAAGTCATTGCTTGGTCACAACAATACTCTCTTTTAAAGCCCTTGGTTACACAAAATAAATACAAAAAGTGAAGCTCTTGCTCCAAAGTCCCTCCAAGCTATTGCCTTGGCGGGGACATATCACCAACACCTGAAATGGTTTTTCCTAAAATAGGGTGTGCCAAAGCCTAGTAGAAACAATCTAACACAATATATGAATCTTAACAAAGATCAAAGATATAAGTACAATGTGCATATACAATACTTATGACAAAACATTCATATTCTATAAGATCATAAGGTACCAAATTTTATATCTCAATCCATTTTCCTTCAATTCACTTTAAGTTAATTCATTAAATCTCAATTCATGAACCAATTTCAGTATCTTTCAGACAACCCAACTGAGACTACAACTCATTGGTTCTCAAGTCAACACAACTATCACATAAGCACTTCAATTTGCCATTTTACAAAAATTTCGTCTGCGGGATCGGCACCCATGTATATGCTTGGTTTTGAAACTTTCACCCTGGACACAAAGGCCAACTTAATTTCAATGGGGTCCATCCCCTGTCTCCTCCCAAACAATGGAGTACATCTCCTTTCTCCTCCCAAACAATGGAGCACATCCCCTTTTTTCTCCCAAACAATCATATGTATGTAATGTATTTAAAACATAGTCATATTCAATGACACCCTATAAGAGATTAGTTTTAATTCACCTAATCCTCATGCAATTTCTATAACAAGCAAAACTATCGTCCACTGATAACCCAATACAGATATTTCTAATAAGATATTCAATTTCAAGACATATAAATTATTCAAAATTTCACAGGCGTGAGGTAATGCATATCCAACTCCACTATTTATATCAACGTCCCTCTAATTTCATATTTACAATATCAATTTCATTTATTTATACAAAATAAATATCTAAAACATTTTAGGGTAAACTCCCTTTTTTCCCAAAATCTCAAACTAAATGCCAAATTCAACTATGTTGACCAATATAGCCTTATAATCAATCCCTCAACCACTTATAGCTCACTTACTTGGAAACCCCTCTCTTTAGATTTAATACCCAAAACCTAGGTTTGTTCACAATATCCCAAATTCCACCATTGTTACATACAACCCATAACTAAGTTAAAACCCATATAAAAGTGTAGAAAAATCCCTACCTCAAAGTTAGGAGACGAGCAAAGAGAGGTGGAAACTTCAATGACGCCGAAGCCAAGTTCCAATCGAATCAAAACGGAGCACTAAAAATGGTCTAACTTTTTTTCAAAGGCACTAGGGAGGAGAACCCAATGGATCTAGGTAAAAATGTAGAGAGGTGAGTTTTAGAGTGAGAAAGAGTCAAGATCTAGGTTTTTAGAAAGTTTTAGAGAGAGAGAGGAATGAAAAAGTGAAGTAAAAAATCGTCTTCACGAACTGATATACACGCAGTCCGCTGAAGCGCAAGAAGTGACGCTCGAGTATCAGATACATTGTTCCGCGAAGTGACGCTCGAGCGCAAAAAGTGACGCTCGAGTGTAAAACACACATTTTCAGAAGTTTTACAGACAAAGGACATCGTTTGAGTTGAAGATTGACCGCTCAAGTGACCCGCTTGAGCATATAATACACTCTTCTAGTATTTTGTAGGTCTGCAAAAATATTGAGAGTTTGCAAAGCCCGCTTAAGCGCAAGAAGTCCCGCTCGAGCACAAAAAGTGCCGCTCGAGCGGAGGCAAAAAGCTGGGCAACAAAGGTTCACAAATCAAGCCACCAACCTGTTCCAAACAAGACCAATACAATCCAATAACCAAACTTAAGGAAGAAGAAGAGGGAAAAGATATAAACAACCATATGAGGCTATGAAACCTGGGTCCAAATACAAAATGGGTCGGGTCTAAATCAGAAACGCTATACTCGCTCTACAAGCGATAGGGTGATCAATAGTGTGAGAAGGCTGATCTAAGCCTGGTGACATCATATACAATGTGTGCTAATATTATCAATTACGCCATAAAACCACATGAATTAATTATTATGCATAAGATACTCATAGAAATATCTAACATAGTCAATGAGGTATCCAAGATATATCAAATCCTACAAAGTCCCAAACTCCTAATATGAGTATGGAAACTATCTCTAGCAGTGGATCAGCTATCATCTTGCTAATGGAGATATGTTGTAGGACTACCTCCCCTCGTGCAATCACACTTCGAATAAAGTGAAAACAAATGTTGATGTATTTGGTCGTACCAAGATACTTAGGATTCTCTAGAATATGCCAAAGCTGCAATACTATCAATATGGATCATGACGGCTTCATCTGCAAGAGCCGTGATCCCAAGACGCTATAGGAATCTTCTCAACCAAACAGCCTCAAGGACTGTTGTTGAACAAGCAACATACTCTAACTTCATCATGGACAAAGATGGCGAAAAAAATCTTCTTCACTGCTTGCCAGTGAACAAGTCATGTGTTACTCTAGTAACGGCTGACCATACCCACTACAAAGCATATATTCGGTCAAGTACACACCATAGTGTACACAAGACTACCAACTACACTTGCATAGGGAACCTTTGCCATTTGTTTCTCTTCTTCATCTGTTCTTAGGGCAAGAGTCAATGCTTAGATTACGTCCATTCTTAATCGGATTGTCAATGGGTTTGAAATAGTGCATCCGAAACCGTTCTAAGATCCTCTTATTGTAAGTCTCTTGAGACAAAACAGAAAAGTCTCTTAGAGCGATCTCTTAAGATCTTAACTCCAAGCTTATAATTTGTCTCTCCCATGTCCTTCATTTTAAAAATACAGGACAGCCACTTCTGAGTGGCACAATCATCTCCATGTCATTTCCAGCTAGCAATATGTCGTCAACATACAATGATACAATGGTCTTATTTCATAATCTCAAGCCCAATCAAAACGATGGTTTTATGGAATCGAAAATACCATTATCTAGACGATTGCTTTGGTCATAAACGGAACATTTGAGTCAGCATGCTTTGCACTCTTGTCCATTAATCTTAAAGCCTACTGGTTGATCCCTATAGATATCCTTGTCCAATTCTCCATTGAGAAATGCAATTGTAACATTCATTTGGAAAAGTTCCAAATCTAAATGTGCGACAATAGCTAGAATTAGGTGAATGAGGGCAAATCTCACCATCGGGGAGAATGTCTATACCCTCTCGTTGGGTATAGCCCTTTGCCATGAGATGGACTTTTGACCCATCAGCCTTGTACTTAACTTTTAAGACCCACTTGTTGCCCATGGTCTTGCGCGAAGGTGGAAAGTCAACTAACTCCCAAACTTTGTTCTGAGCCATAGAACTCATTTCATCCTTCATAGCAGTCATTCACTTCGTAGCATTCGGTGAAACTGATGCTTCCTTATAGGAAGTAGGCTCATCATGATCCAATGAAGCACACATAAAAGATTTCCCCTCAATCTCACAAGACGACGATGAATGATTCCACGTTCACCTCTACGTAACTAGGATCCTTATTGAGTCATTTTCTAGTGAAACACTCCCATTAGAAGGTAAATCACTCCCACTATCTTTGGCAATTTCAGGATGAGTCTCTAATTCTCTACCCTCGCCAAAAGATGGTGTGACTTCCTCAAACTTCTACAACTCAAATGGCACAAGATCTTTCTTTACTTTACCAATACTAGAAAATTCACTCTCAATGAAATTAACATCTCGAGACTTACTTATAGTCATTCCACTATCAGGATGTTTACTATGCCTAACTCTTTGAGCATTCCGAGTATCTAACAAATACTTGTTTGTTTGCTCTAGGGCCTAACTTTCCATGCTTATGTGAAGTATTGTGAACAAAACCGACATAACTCCAAGGCTGCAAATGATCCAAATTAGGTTATGCGCCTTTCCATAATTCATATGGAGTCGTTGGAATTGACTTGCAAGGCACATGGTTAAGGATGTAGGCAGCAATCAAAAGAGCATCCCGCTAAAAAGATATTGGGCGGTTGACTTGCGCCATCATCGATCTAACCATTTCAAGCAAAGTGCGATTCTGTCTTTCCGCTACACCAATTTGTTGTGAAGTTCCTAGAATCGTTAACTAAATGTGTAATATTGCTATAAACTGCGTAACTTCATTTTGGAAATACTAATTATCATAATTCTATCATAAGATTACGTAATATTAAAAAATATGTAATATGAATCACAAAAATACATAATTATGTGCGTATAATATATTCATTTTATGAGAGTGCATAGTAGGAATTTCTATGAATTGGGGAAAAATAGATCCCATTAATCTAAGTAGTTAACAAATAAATTAAAAAAACTAAGCATTTCGTAAACCATTTAACATGGTCATCATTTAATCAACTGACACTAACAAATATTTTAACTTGTCCATCAGAAATGCTAGCATATAGGTAGGCACTGTTTGGTCCAATTGGCGATTGCTCAGTAGTATTACATTGCTTCGTTTGTCATCTACTTCAGAGGGCTCCCTGTTGTGCTTGCTGTACTGCTTCTCAAATCCAAGGTACCAAAACAAAAATAAAAATTTTGAATTTACTTGACTTAATCATTGTGTTTTATTCTATTACAACTACTTTGCTTCGACCTGACCCTGTTGGATTTTCACTTTGTATTGCTTCTTAATTTCTCTTGGATTTTCATTTTTTTTCTGATATACAAGCAATGAGAAGAGAATGAATAGATATTTTTGTAACTTTCTTTTTATTTATTTATTTATTATTATTATTTTTGGTTCTATTATTATTTGAAATTGTTTACTATTCTGGAATCAATTTAAAAAAAATAAAATTAATTAAATAATAGGGTTTATGATTTTGAAATTGGAAAAAATTGAATTGAATTGAAATTAAATATTTTATATTTTTATGAATAATTATCCCTAAATTCTGGTCTCTAAAACTTTAATTTTTTATAGTGTAAGCCGAGTAAAATTTTGTTTGGAATGTATTATATAAGTACATTTTTTATTTTTTTAAGTCACATCGCCTCTTTACTTTTCTAGACATCTTTTTGTAAAAAAATTAAAAAATATGTTTATTTATATCATCTTAAACAAATAAAAAATGCTAAGAACCCTAAAAATTTTATCAAGTTTTTTATTAAATGTTTCACATGGATGTGAGACCTACACGATGTGAGTCTCATATAAATCTCATACCCATATAAAATATTTGATAAAAAAATTAATAAATTTTTAAGATCTGTAGCATTACTTAAGCCTAATCCCTTCTAAAAATACTAAAACAAGAAACCCTAATAATATTATTAATTGGATTAGGCATTTAAATATATTAGTCAAAAAATTAAAAAATTACTATAAATTATCATATTATTCTTTTAATTTTTTTGTATATTTTTTTGGTAAAAAATTGAAAATATACTAAAATAATTTATTTCCAACATGATTTGAAGTTGATGTGAAAGGAAACAAAATGGAAAGAAAGAGGTCTTTCATCCTTTGTTCATATAAATTGATAAAATGGCAAGAAAGAATAAGAAATTATGAGAATTTTTTTCTCTTAAAACCTATGTTTTTATTTCTCACAAAAAAATTGTGACATTTAATGAGAAAAAACAAAAACTTTGCTTTTATAAAAAAAAAATTATAATATTTAAACCCAAAATAAATAAAATAAATACGTGGCTTGTTTTATTATTCAAAAAAAAAAAAAAAAAAACTTTAAAAATGAAAAAACTGATAATGTTCTCAGTTTTCAAATTAGAAAAAACTATTAATATTCTCGGTTTTATTAGATAGTTGAATCAAACCAATAACTAGAAGGACAAAAACTTTTAATTTCATGTTCTGTTTTTTTTCATCAGTTAGTGAAACAATTATCTAGAACACTACCATGGAAAATTGATAATGTTTTTAGTTTTAAAAATTGTGAAAAACTGATAATACTCTTAGCTTTACTAAATAGGATTTATTGGTTCAAAAAATCTTAGGTATGACTTGAGCTACCATAACATTTATAAATAGAACTTTTGGGTAATTAACTCTTTTAAAATTATATTTGTCGTTCATTTTTGAAAAACAAATATGATTCAAATATATGTTTAAATAAAATTTGTATTATAAAAAAAGGATGACTATTCTTAAATCGTTTATTTTTCAAATATAAATCTGATTCAAATATATAGTTATTGTTGTCTAATCATCTTAATTTTTTTATATAAATATTCTACTCAACGAGTCTTAAGAAGTGAACGGTTTGAATTATCGAAATTAATTCCAAAATATAGACCTAAGCTAAAACTCTCTCTCAAATTAAAATGACAACTTGAGAGAAGTCAAACGAGCTACCAACGAGAACTTATTCCTTAGTATGATTGAGTAAATTGAAAATTCATGAAGGACTAGATTAGGTTGGTAGGACTTTCTAGACCTATTTATTAAATAAGTTCAATTTTAAAATTTTTAGAATAATAATTCCGAAGTTTATTTTGTTGGGATTGAAAGGACAAAATAATTTGAAAAGATCATATTACACATACTTATATGTCAATTTGTGCACTGTCAACCTATCGTCACCTATATGTTCGAGTGTTATCTATTTGTTGACTTGTTCAAATGTTGTTTTCTTATTTATTATCGTGTTACCTATCTATGTACCTAATATGTCTATCTGTTCATATTATCACCAGTCGTCACCAGTGATCCGATGGTGATCTAGTGATAGTGGGATAAAAATGGAAAAAAAAATTATTTCAAAACAATAATTTATCACAATTTCATTTAAATCATGTTCGTGTCTCCATAAAGATTGTTATATAAAAGTGACACATGTGATGTACATTCATAAACAGTTCATCCTGAATGTACAACATGTGCTACATGTAGTAAGAGAATGAAAGCTAAACAGATATTTAAATGCTCTAAATTCTTACATCTTTCCAAGTCATTGCTTGATTACAACAAAAGAGAGTCTAGCTCTATACAATTACAGGCCTTGGCTACACAAAACAAATACAAAAAGTGTAGCTCTTGCTCCAAAGTCTCTTCAAGCTATTGCCTTGGCGGAGGCATATCATCAACACCTGAAATGATTTTTCCTAAAATAGGGTGAGTCAAAGCCCAGTAGAAATAATTTAACACAATATATGAATCTTAACAAAGATATAAATATAATGTGCATATACAATGCTTATGACAAAACATTCATATTCTATAAGGTCATAAGGTACCGGATTTTATATTTGAATTCGTTTTCCTTCAATTCACTTTAAGTTAATTCATTAAATCTCAATTCATGAACCACTTTCAGTATCTTTCAGACAACCCAACCGAGACTACAACTTAATAGTTCTCAAGTCAACACAACTATCACATAAGCTCTTCAATTTTCCATTTTACAGAAATTTCATCCATGGGATTGGCACCGATGTATACACTCGGTTTCGGGACTTTCACCCTAGACACAGAGGTTGACTTAATTTCAATGGAGTCCATCCCCTCTCTCCTCCCAAAAAATGGAGTACATCCACTTTCTCCTCCCAAACAATCATACATATGTAATGTATTTAAAACATAATCATATTCAATGACACCCAATAAGAGATTAGTTTTAATTCACCTAATCCTCATGCAATTTCTACAACAAGCATAACTATTCTTTACCGATAGCCCAATACAGATATTTCTAATCAGATATTCAATCTTGAGACAGATAAATTATTCAAAATTTCACAGGTGTGAGGTAATGCATATCCAACTCCACCATTTATATCAACATCCCTCCAATTTCATGTTTACAATATTAATTTCATTTATTTATACAAAATAAATATCTTAAGCATTTTAGGGCAAACTCCATTTTTTCCCAAAATCTCAAACTAAATGCCAAAGTCAACTATGTTGACTAATATAGCCTCATAATCAATCCCTCAAACATCTATAGCTTACTCACTTGGAAACCCCTCTCTTTAGATTTAATATCCAAACCCTAGGTTTGTTCACAATATCCCAAATTCTACCATTGTTACACAACAACCCATAACTAAGTTAAAAGCCATATAAAGGTGTAGAAAAATCCCTATCTCAAAGTTAGGAGACGAGCAAAGTAAGGTGAAAACTTTAATGATGCCGAAACCAAGTTTCAATTGGATCAAAATGGAGCTCTAAGAATGCTCTAACTTTTTTTCAAAGGCACTAGGGTGGAGAACCCAATGGATCTAGGTAAAAATGTAGAGAGAAGGTGAGTTTTAGAGAGAGAGAGAGAGTCAAGATCTAGGTTTTTGGAAAGTTTTAGAGAGAGAAATGAATGAAAAAGTGAAGTAAAAAGTCGTCTTCACGAACTGATATATATGCAGTCCGCTCAAGCGCAAGAAGTGACGCTCGAGCACCAGACACATTGTTCTGTTCGAGCGCAAGAAGTGGCGCTTAAGCGCAAAACACACACTTTCAGAAGTTTTGCAGGCGAAGGACATCGCTCGACCTCAAGATTGGCTGCTCGAGCACCCACCCGCTTGAGCGTAGGAAACGTCGCTTGAGTCTAGAATACACTCTTCCAGTATTTTGTAGGTTTGCAAATATACTAAGAGTTTGTAAAGCCCGCTCAAGCGCAAGAAGTGCCGCTCAAGCGGAGGGGCAAAAATTTGGGTAACAAAAGTTCAAAAATCAAGCAACCAACATGTTCCAAACAAGACCAATACAATCCAATAACCAAATTTAAGGAAGAAGAAGAGGGAAAAGATATGAACAACCATACGAGCCTATGAAACTTGGGTCTAAAATACAAAATGGGTCGGGTCTAAATCAGAAACGCTATACTCGCTCTACAAGCGATAGGGTGATCAGTAGTGTGAGAAGGCTGATCTAAGCCTGGTGACATCATATATAATGTGTGCTAATATTATCAATTACGCCATAAAACCACATGAAGTAATTATTATGCATAAGATACTCATACAAATATCCAAAATAGTCAATGAGGTATCCAAGATATATCAAATCCTACGAAGTCCTAAACTTCTAATATGAGTATGGAAACTATCTCTAGCAGTGGATCAATTACCATCTTGCTAGTGGAGATATGTTGTAGGACTACCTCTCCTCGTGCAATCACACCTCGAATAAAGTGAAAACAAATGTCGATGTGTTTGGTCCTACCAAGACACTTAGGATTCTCTAGAATATGCCAAAGCTGCAATACTATCAATATGGATCATAACTGCTTCATCTACAAGAGCCATGATCCCAAGACGCTATAGGAATCTTCTCAACCAAACAGCCTTAAGTACTGTTGCTGAATAAGCAACATACTCTAACTCCATCATGGACAAAGATGGCGAAAAAATCCTCTTCACTGCTTGCTAGTGAACAAGTCATATGTTACTCTAGTAACGACTGACCATACCCACTACAAAGCATATTTTCGGTCAAGTACACACCATAATGTACATTAGACTGCCAACTACACTCGTATAGAGAACCTTTGCCATTTGTTTTTTTTCTTCATCTGTTCTTAGGGCAAGTGTCAATGCTCAGATTACGTCCATTCT